CATACATTTTCGAAATTAACATTGATAACTGGTGCAATGGATGTTTTACACCATATTACAACAAAGTAATGAGCTTATAGATTGTTGATTTAAATTTTGTCTTTTCGATTAGATCGAAATGGTTTGTCATATTTGATAATGAATATCTTCAACAAATGGCTGATCTATTGATTGCTCTATGTAACTTTAGTCTTTAATGTTTTAAGATTTAACATACACTTCGGCGATTCTCAGACAATGTTTTTTTAAATACTCGGTTGAGAATGTACATCGAGATTACTAATTGAAAATAGCTTACGGATTTTTTTTTACTTATCAGATATCTTGGAACTATCGAACTCTAAGTTTAATATTTATACTTAGGTTATTGAAACTTTTCACGAAGGGTGTGGGTGTGGGTGTGGGTGTCATATTTTCTTTATCCACACCCACCTAGACCCACACCCACACCCTTATTCAATTATTGACAGAAGATTAAATCTTTTTGTGTTTATAAGTTTAATAATTGTAGTTCACTAATAAATCTTATGATATATGAGTCATTTCTACGCTTAGAAGTAGAAATAAAAATAAAAACCAAGAAACATTTTAATAGAACTCGAATAGTCAGTTTCTATATTTTTATACAAAACAGTAAAGAGCAAGTAATGAAAAAAGATGATGTAGTACATGCTAAGCAATATATTTTTCTCAACAATGTCATCATTTTCTCCAGTTTTATGAATACCATAAAACTAAAGATTGCAACGTTACTGAAGTATTAATGCATACTTCATGTCAAGGTAAACAGATTTCGGCTTGGTCAAGATTCAAAAGATCTATTTTTTTAATATTTTTAATGGTTTTCAAAATGAAATCTTCTCGCATGAAATAAGTGCACCGTTTTCCTCGAATAATTTTAACAGAATTTACGTAAATCTCTTTTTATAGTGACAACCTTATCCGTTACTTTCTCAACTAAATATAAAAGTATAGCTATTTGATTATTTATACTGTTACGATGAGAAAAAGTTCAAACTTTTGACGATATTCTTAGGGAAAATTTGATGCACGCTCTTGTGATTTCTTTAAATTCATATCGATCTCTGACCTCTTTCATTAGTTCACTAGTTGTGATATCGCTGCGGGTGAAGAATTGAGCAAGATTCATACCCAGATAATCATACTCCACATCGATGTACTTTTCTAAAAGTACACAAAAGCATATTTTAAATACTTTTACTTTCTCCAACACTACGCACGAAAGGATCGATGAATCTAGAGATGTCAAAAGAAAACAGGAATCAATTATTCAATCAGTTTCATCGTTATTCACTTCTGATTCGTGTATAAAATGAACGACCAAGTTGAAACATCAGATTATTTATCATAAAATAAATACCATCTCTCTACTTCTTTTTGTTCGTTTTATAGAGAAACCTAAAGCTAACTAAATTGAGCTGACTATATCATGTAATCCTATATGTTTAGCTGGAAGTTTATATTTGATTGATGCAAAAAATATTGAAAAAATACAAATAGAAAGCAGAAATACTGTTAATAGATCGTACATTTATCGATTATGCAATCTGATTTTACGAGAATCATGTCAATTTTCATGTGTGGACATCGTCAATGTAACAACTGTTGATCTAATTTGAATATGAGATGTTTTGTTATCAAGGGATATGGTCAAATGTACAGAATGTCTTGAACAAACCCAGAAAAATGAAGTCTGTTATCAAACCATTTTCTATTCAAAAAGTAATTTGTTTTCTTTAAAGATACTACTCGATCGAACTTTCAACAATCATATGTTCATTGAATAGTTTATTTAAAGATTAAGAGGTAAAAAAGAATATACTTTGTAATATCTAATTTAATTAAAATGCGAATACATGCAATGAATCATTATTTTAGGAGCACCTTAAAGTTAAAGATTTTAATTCAATTTGAGAATTTTGTGGAGAAAAATTCAATTCACAATGTGTTAGGATATTATCCTTATTTTCTTATATTCTTCCCTTTGTTGTTTTCTTTTCGTATGATATGTGTCTATTTGCTCTTTCTTTCGTTCTTGGAATATTTCCCGACGTTCTATGTATGGATATAGTCCACTTGGTAAATTCCATATATATTGTTTTCTTTGTTGGGATTTCATTGAGAAATTTTCCCAACATTTTTCTTTTTTTCCAAGTTGATTATATATATATGTTCGTGGTTTCTGAATAAAATGATTAGCAGCGAGCATTCTAACTCACTGATAAGACTTGACGAACACAAACATATTACTGTACCTTGTTCACTGAAAGAACTCATTAAATTAAAAAAATAGAAAATTAATATAATTTCAATTGAGTTATGTCTATGTGTAAGTCGAAGGCATCATTTTCTCATTAGGTTGCGAAAACAAAAAAGGATTATTATCGAAAAATTCGATATTTTAAAAAGATGAAATAATTCAGGATTAAAATTTTGGGGTTACATTTTGTTCGATTATCTTTTTTTATTAAATAACAACAATTATTTGATGAACTTGAATGCCCGATTTGTTTAAGTCTGTCGAGCTCAACTATCAGAGCATTATTTGAAATTCTTTTTGAATTAAAAATGACAAATTGTAATACTCACTCAGTCTACAAGTGAAATGATACTATAGATACAATATTCGTAGTCTAAATAAAAAAGCTGATAAAAATTTCATCTATTATCGAAGGAATAATCCAAATTTCTTTGAAGCATAGTTGAATGCTATCATTTATTCTCTTCATCCTTTTTGAAACTAATATGTTTTTTTATAGTGTTATCTGTACCGTAATTCGTTTTCTTTCATATGAAAAATAATTAAATATGAATACTTAAAATGTGTTTTTAGATATTGATATCAATTTTGTCATATGAATAGAAAACTTGGAGGTATAGAACAAAGCAGAGTTAGGATGATATTATGATTCTTTTGTAAAGAATCAAAAAATGACACATTGGATAATATTTGATATACTCAACTGACTAACGTAGAAAGTTCCACAACTGATAAATCACTTTTGGGTCGAGACTGCATTATGTAGAACCAAATTAACTCTGAATTCTCTGAAAACACCAGGAAAACTTTTCGAATTTTGATTTGAAACTTTATACACAGACAGACGTCAATGAGAACAGTGTTTTTGTGAATATTTCAGATCTTATTATTGTTTTTATGTTAAGATACAGTTATTGCAAAAGATTGTCTTCTACATTGCTCACATAAAACACCAGGTTCGATGTTCTTATTTAAGGATGGAAGCAAATCACAAGATTTGAATCTTTCAAAATAAGCTGAAGATATATTTCTTCATAAAGTTTTCAATCAAAACTAGAAAATCAGTTTTTCTGTTGTTTCTGAGGAATTCTAAGGCATCCATCCAAAAACTACCGTGAATTTACAGTATGTCCATCACAATAAGCTAAGACCCTGAACTTATCAATCTATTCAGTACCTTCTCTTGGAGTACAAGACGACCAGATCCTAAGATCCAGCCGCGTCAAGGTGGCCCAATCTCGATCATTGATCGATCTCTCAACATGTTCTCAACTAAATGTTAATCGAGAAATAGTCTAGAAAAAAGATATCGAAAAATTCATAAGTTCATCATGTTTCGTCGCCTTGGTTATATGTCGCTGTATTCACAACACAAACTCCTCAATGAACGATTAGCCAATAGATCACGACACATCTAGAGTACGATACATTTTATTTACGTGTATTGACTGAACTGTATGCGAGAACTCAAATTTATCTCTGATAGAAAATATTTCAGTGTTTCGTGTTTTTTTCGAAATGTAGGCTTTTGCAAAATTCGTTCTTATTTGTATCATTCGGATGCTTTGTTATGGTGCTCGTATACGGCTCGATTACGGTGTCTCTACGGTCCAGATCAGATGATGGCATATAATCGCATTTTTGCCATGCCTACATCATACTTTCATCGTATACGGTCACAATGTAAACACTTGCAAAAATAAACAAGCTTCTGGAAAACCTCTATTTACATCGTGACAAATTTGGGGTGGGTGTGATTAAAAGTTCCCCATACCCACAATCTAAAATATACTTTCTTTTATTCTTTTCAGCTGTATTATTATCAAATTATATCTGATATGGGTTTGGGTATCCTATTCTATACTCACATCCACTTCCAAAACAGAAGAAAGTAGACCTGATGTATTTATGACTTCGTAAATCACAAAAGGACGTCGGGCACACACGCGAACTTACTCCTACCGCCTGATGTAAGCAGTTCGAGAGCTATGCAGAATGATTTCGATACGGTCTATTTCGTTTACGAATAAGAACATCTGAATAAGTTTTACTTGAGCAATCTGTCTCAAATTTTGAAATGAATTATTGTTATGAATGATAGCCGATTAAAACAATATGAATTGAACGAGAAATTTGACGACAAATTACGCGGTTGTATTTGAGAAATCATCTGCTGAATTCCTACGCTGTTTAATTTATATAAGTTTCTAAAAAGCTCGTTCGTATTAAGTATCACAAAGGTCTATGAAAGTTATTTTTTATGTTCGTATCTTTATCGTAATAAATTGAACGCACATATCTTGTGCTTATATAAAATCACCGACGTACGCTTTTGGAAAAGTATTTTAATAAGCATTAATCGGAATTTCCGTGATACTAAGCAGAAGATTGATCAAGAAAGTGGCTCGTCATTAGATATATAGCTTCTTTTTATTTCTTTGCAAGTACTCTAATAGGTTTTACGATTTCAATATTGTTTGGTACAAAATGAACGAGAATAGTCTGATTCGATTTTATCTTGCTTTCGATTCTATTTCATTCAATAGGAAGGACAATGTCAAATGCCAAATTTTCGATGCACGATTTCAAGTAATATGATAAAAATATGTTCTCATCAAACTCTGATACAATGGTTAAGTTTTTGACCTATTTAGTTTTCAACAGTATAAGATCAACGACTGCAAATATCAATCAAGACCACATGACTTTATTTTGATACCTAGTTTTGATGTATTCGTGAAAGAAAAAGTGCATAGAATAAACACAGTACAGTGCAGTACAGTATACATTTTCTGTGGAAACAAGTTGCTCCACAACTTTGTGATTGTAGTCCTCTATCATAATCAATCACAATAAAACGATTTAGCACCAGCATATTGCTATTGTAAGTTTGTAATGTGCCATCCGGCCACCGGACTTCTATCATAAATTTCTCACCGAAATCACCAAGACCAAAATGCAATACACGTGTATCAGCCGAGCTATAGGTACCACGACTTGATTTCATTTCACGCATCATCATCCAGTTACTAAAACGTAGTGTCACACGAGCTCCAATCGCATCGCGATTCACATTAATACCATCACCTATTAGTTTGATTGCCAGCCAAGATTTCTCTTGTCCAACTGTATTTTCGAACAAAAAGTTCGTTCGTCCACCACCTTGATCACGTCCGCCCACCAGCAAATCAAGATCACCATCATGATCAATATCACTCCAGCCGAAATTTTGCGCACCTTTCATACGGGCAGCTTTGCCAGTGGCTTGTAAATCGTTGATACCACTAATGGCACCCAAAATTTCAAAGTTACCATCATTTTTTTGATGCATAAGACCAAACCAAGCGAGTTGATCGAAGGCTGTATATTTCGATTCATATTTAGTGTCACGTGTCAGCGCCAGATCAAGCCGTCCGTCATTGTCAAAATCGACAAAACCGGCATCGATGTCACCCTCGTTAAATGGCAAGTGACGCTGCAAAAATTCATTGACAAAAATATGTCGAGTACCATTCACGAGATGACTAATCAAGAGCTGAGTTGGATCAGACCATTTACGATTGTAGTCAGAATCAACCGGATGTGAAATTGTAGCTAAAAAAATATCGTTTAAGCCATCACCATTGACATCTTCACAATCGATGCCAAAACCATTTGAACCAACGTAACTGCTAACATTTTTGTCAGATTCAAAGAAAGTTCCATTACCAGTTGAAGATAACCAATAGTTGCCGGTGGCTTGTGCCAAAAATCCACGGGAACTCGCTACATTAGTAAACTTTCCGGTACCGTCGTTTTCCCACAATATATTATGACCTAGAGCAATGCTGACACCATAAGTTGAAACAAAAATATCAACATCACCGTCATTGTCATAGTCACATACGACTACACCATTTGTCGGCTGCTTAGGATTGATGCCCAGCAGATTGTTAGCCGTAACTTCATCAAAGGTGCCATCACCTTTGCCGAAGAATAATTGATCAGCAACGCCTTTCAGTGATCCGCCATTACCCAGGTACAAGTCGAGAATACCATCATTATTAAAATCGGCGAAACTAGCACTCGCAGCAGTGGAATCACCTGCATTGCCTTCAGTGCCTGAGTTGTGCAGCTCAGTGAAATGACCATTACCGTCATTCAAATAAATATGATTAGTTAAGCCCACGGTTGGATAGTCCAGACCAGTAAAAACATCTTGATCGCCATCGTTATCGATATCACCAAAGACAAAAAAGCCGGCTTGAACATGGCGCAAGCCCGATACATCGCTAAAATGAGTGAAAGTACCATTTCGATTATTGACAAACACTAAGTGCTCGAGTGAAATATTCCTTTGCAAATTAGGATATAGGCTGTGCATAACGATATCGTCCCAACCATCTCCATTGATATCGACAAAAGCCAGTCGACTGTGATCATTGATCGGAATCGGATTTGCTGGATTAATAACATAATTATCGTAAGTAATGCCACTTTTTACCGAAATATCGACGAATGAAATTATGCTACTAACATTAGTAGAGATGGCTGAGTTTGCCCAATCACTACTATCTATGTTCTTGTTCATTATGGTAATCGACTCAGTTGCGTGGCTAGCAATAAATATGAAGACAAGGAAATAAATTGTCATTGCAGATAGAAAATTCTGAAAAATAAACCAAATATTCTATTTTAATTGTGATAAACAGAGTGAGTTTGAAAACGCTGAATTGGTCGATCAATTGCCTTCGACCATTTTTTCGAAAGTATATATATATATATGTTTAACAATGCTTTTATTATTCGTTAATTGAAAGAAACTCTTAGAAATTGTCAATAATGAATCGATAAAAAACATAACATGGGTTCTTCGCTAATTTCTCTTAGTCAAGACTATGTTCATCAATATTCGTTCAAAACACCATTTGCATTTACTCAACGGAAATACAAACCTCCAGTGGATATATTTGAACCAGCCACTCAAATACAGACAGATGGATGCACTCATTCTTATCGTTGGATACTCGTGTTTGATTGTTAGAAAGCAAGTTTTTTCTTTTTTTCCTGTTTACTTGTCTTTCGTTGTCGTTCTCTTCATTCATATTACTAGAGTTTGTCTATTCAACTTATATGATGCTGAGTTATCATTACAGATATCAGTAGACAAATAAATCATAAAACCAGTAGCACATACACTCTACCGATGCTTTTTAGTAACAATGCATCTACCGAAGAAAACGAAAAAGAGCGCAAAGGTTGTCTTGCATGCTAAACATGAAATCGAGTAACGCGCTCACTGTGATATTTGTGAATGTGCGTCTAATTTTTGAACATCTCCATGTCTATGTGTGTTCTATGTAATCTGTCTTGTTGACTTGTTTCTTAGCTACGTTCGTCCACGTTACTATTGAATACAAAATTGCAAATCGACACATCAATAGAAGATTTTACATTTACATATGAGAATGATTCAACTATGTGTGTGTAAAAATGCGTGTTGAGAAGAGCTTCATCTATTCTGCTAGTGAATTTTTGCATCTGTTCTGTAAATGTCAAATAATACACTACGTGATTTTTTTCTCTTTTGAATGTGAATCTGTGGTTGCATAGAAGAATAGAAGACAGACACACTTACACTACTATACAACACATCTGGACATACCCACATCCGAAACAAGAAGATTATTCACTGCTAAAATGTTATCTTTATGTCGCAAAAATATATTTTGAGCGATTAATCGATTTTACACATTCTTTGCAATAGATCAGTAAAAGAATTAGTATGATAATTTTTTAAATTAGTTCAACAATTCGAATTAAACCAGAACTGATCAAAATATCGATCAGAATTCAAAAAATACATGAGAAAAATACGATGAGAGTAACATCAGAGAACATGTCCAATAAGGTAAGAAGTCGTCTGAATATGAGCTTGTCATCTAACGGAGAACAGGTAATTTCGATGAAGCTGTAATTTCTGATAGTATTTGTGATATATACAATTGATATGTAGTTGTGAAAGTGCAGCTTTTTGTCAAGATCCTGCAAGTAAGTTTTTTTTCAATCGTTCGCTCATAAAGTAACTCATGTTCTCATTGTACTTCTCTAGAAGAAACATTATATTCTTCGAAAAATTCTTGAAAGAAGGAAAATTGGATTCAAATCCTATATAGGTACGCAATCATTAGACTTTTTTGAAACTAAACTCGTCAATAATTTTAAATACAGTGTGCAGTTAATGATGAAAACCTAAACGACAAACTGATAATAAAGGGAAAGAGAGACGACTAAGTGATGAAATATCCATGCTGTGATCTAGGGATATAACTGACGACGAGAATGTAGCGCATAAAAGGATAGTGAGCATCTCTTTTCACTGAAATGTTGATAATGGCGAGTCCCACTTACGAATGTGAAACTCTAACATTTTTATTACAACATATGTGGTCATCGGTGGTTAATAATCGTGACAAAAGGCAAACTATCAGGCAAGATTATCATTGTCCATCAAGTCTGTTAGATTCATTTCTCCACTGAAATTTGTAAAAACTAAACTCGCTTACAACGCACCGCCGATCATACAAAAACACTAGCTGCATATAAACGAATGGGCATCCCTAGGTTTGAAACTATTCAAGGAAGAGCGAAGGCAAAGTCTTCTGATGATTGACAACAGGGGTGGCAAGATTGAAAAATAGCTAACATTCGAAGACCAGAAAAGAATTATACCGTAAGAGACATATATGTGGATGGAAGAGAGTACTAAAAAAAAGACATCGGAAGAAATCAATGATGTTTTCGTGAAACTTTGGAATAGAGTTAGGGTATCCTATAAATGTATGAAACTTCACTAAGAGTTTCGTAATCTCATAGATTCTATATAAAGCCATTCCAGATTTCGCAGTAAAAAGATTTCTGTAGTAAACCTCTCAAAGGTATCATAGTTCAAAGGTTTCGCACTGAACTACTTTCTTTTCTCGTCTCATTTATAATAGAGACAGTTATTCATAAACCAGACATTCGTCCAGTCTAAATCCTTCCTATCTTATCTTATCCGTCATGTATTTGTGGTCGCGTTTAGATATTTTATTACTGTATTTAAACATCATACTTTTCCAAGTGGTACCACTTTAGAGAGTAATATAGAACTTGTTGATGATATGGCAAGAAAAATCTCTAGACTGAATCTTAAAATCTTCACAATTTGCCGAAAGAAATATAGCATCACTGCTCGCCAAGTTTCTTTCTATGTTTAAATCTTATGAGCCGCTGTACTTATTGATTTTTGTGCAGAGTTTTCAATGACTGTTGCTTGAACAGATAGGCATAGCAAATTGCTGACGATTTTTTGTATAAGAGAAATATTGTTGATCAAGTAGATTGATACTCTTCGTGTATTTCTTTTTATGTCACATTGTTTTCTTCGCGCTCATGTTAGTTTACAGAATATGAAATTCGTTCATTTTCAATTCAAAATATATAGAAAATTATGAACAGAAAGGAATGGTGACATAGTTATATCAGCATACGTATTGACCTAGCAATATGAGCAGATATATAAGACATGTATATAGAGATAGACTGATACACATATATAGGAGATCACACAGAGTTATACAAGAAAGACATAGAAAACATGGATTGGGCATATATATATAACAGAATGGGCATTTATTTAGGAGATTACATATAGACATTACGACTTAGGCATAGATATTGGATTTCAAATATACAAATAATGGATTAGATTAAAGAATAAGAGACTGAGCATAGAAATAAGGGATTAGATATAGAAATGTGGTTTAGATAGAAAGAAAATTGAGATTGAGGATAGTTATAGATGAATAGAAATATTTATTGAAGATATTCGTAGGTCGAGTGATATTATATGGAGCTTTTGATGTAACTTCGACTACGAAACTTAAAAAGAGTTTCGAATTCATTTCAGTTTTTGAAAATCCTATAGGTTTTGTACGACACCAGTGTTTCAGTGAAGAGAGCACGTATAATTTTGGTGGCTCTAATTCTCATGACCCGAATGTAGATTGATGTAGATCATAAATGAGTGCCATTATTTTCAAACAACACAAAGGTCGAAACATCCTTCTTATTGATAATATGACTACCTGCATCAAATCAGATTTTGACAATATTCAAAATTGCTGATATCAGCTCTGTGGATGCTTGAATGTACGTTTTTATATAAAAAAATAATTAATAGCAAAGATGTGGCGAAGAATCTCGATATGAAAGACGGGCTTATTATGATTGAGGATAGCGTGATGAAAGGAGTTGGGTCTTAACTTTACGCTCAATCATTCTACTCACAATCATACTAACATCCACATCCACCCATACCCAAAACGAAACTTTGCTTGAAATTAGATTAGGAAATAGTTAGTCATAAACAATGATCTGCTGTCGGCAATACTTCAAGATAATCGAAAGGAGAAAGTTACGCATCAATAAGTGAAGTACCTAAAGTTGCTTCTCATTCGAGGCACATCTTAACTTCATTATGTTCATAAATCTTCTCTCGCTAGCTGTCAAGTCTATAAGTGATTAGATAGCGGTCTCATATACATTCATACGTGACCACTTCGAATAACCACGTGACAAAAAAGAAATAGAAAGAAGACTCTTCTGCATTTCATTACAATCTTTTGCACTGTAAATAAAATTAAATAGAAACAAGGGAATGCTGATTGACATACCGCTGACAATCGACCAGCAAGGAACCGTTCACAATTGAAATTTTCATTTTACGCAACACTACTACAATCACTCTACAAGTTATGTAGACGTCGAGCGTCAGAAATTTTACACAGGAGTGAATCATTCTTCAGTAGTATTTCTATTAGTACCGTGAGAAATTCAGGTTCAAAACTTGGTCACTAAGCTCCATAGTGATAGACGTTACTGCTTTTTTTCGTTCATCTTCGTCTCGCCGTTTGTACGACACTCGAACAAAGATGACCATCAAAATAGACACTACGATACTGATGAAAACCAATAAATTGATAAGTTGATATCGTCCAGAGCCAGTGAAAAGAAGGATGACAAAAGTAATGTTGTTCCATTGTACAAGAATGGAAGCGGATAGAAATTCTGGTAAAGGAAATGTGATTTCAGCCAAACTTTCATACATTAATGGAGCTGCTGCTTCTTGGAAAAGCCAGCAAGTGTTAATGCTAGTCCGATAGTGACATCCGAGGAACCGAGTATTGGTCTTTCGTAGAAAACTGTACGAACAGATAACTGAAACCAAATGATGGTAAGTACACAGCCGGCGAAACACACTAAAATGAACAGTTTGAGTGAACGCTGAAATCGCCGAGTATCGGCCAGAGCACCCAAACAGAAGCCGCCCACAATGCCGGCTACTGATGAACTAAAACCGAACCAACCTAAAACAAACATCATAGAAAACTCGAACAATGACTATTTAGAGTGAATCATGTTGTTCGTATCCTACTGAACATAACGGTCAAATATGTATCGCTTGTTGCTGAACAACTAGTATTTCAAGGTGGTAAAAGAAGCAGAGAGAATGTTTCCAAATTTTGAACAATATTAATAAAAGTATTTCATTGTATGATGTTTCAGTATGATTGGAGTTTCGCAGAGTTTCGATCTGCTTTATTCTTACAGTTATTCAAAAACATCTAGAAACGACGAACAGAACACAGCAGAAAAATGTTTCGAAGAGAAGTGTAGGTTCATTCAATAGTCAACACATTTCTTCTCACCGATGACTTCATCAAAATCTTGTCTAAAGAAACAATACGACAATTCCTTCATTTTGTTATGCGATTCTTGAAAAATGATCATCTTTCCTGTGAAAAATCTTTTGTCTGGAAATTTTCGAATTAGATCTTTCATATTTTTCTGGAGCAACCTGAAATGCTGCGCTTCGTCTTCACTTGATTTGAATAACGAAGCCTTGATGATAGATTTCATTGCAATACAAGTAGAAAACATACCAGCTTGTTTTTTTGAATAATTTTCGGGAGCAAGAATGGTGGCGAACAATCCAGTCCACATCGGAAAGGTCCCTGCCATGACACCGCCTGCTGTTGATAGTAGGACAAATGAAGGATTCGCCATACATTCACGCAGACCTTTGAGATAAGCTTTCAGTCCAGTATTTATACTCTGACCTTCTCCTTGCATAAGCAATTTAACAGCAGCGGATGGTGCTGTAGGTGGCTGAGCGGGAAAATAAATCAATGCAAGAAAACCAGCTACTACTGCCAAAGCCAGATGAAAATAGAGAAGATGCGGTAGATTACTAGAACGAGAAACGATTGCCGGATTGATGAGAAAACTGATAGTAGAGCCGAATACATTAGCCATGATTGCTAAAGTAGTTGCTAGTGTTCGTTCGTTTGGACCAAACCAGAGACATGATAATTGAGATACTGGTGCCATGACCAAAGGGCCACAAGTGGCATTAATTATTTGGCCGGTATGAAGAAATGGCATGGAGATGGTTCGGAATCGTGAACTCGAAGTTGAGCTGATAATTGAAGGTAGAACTCGGAGAAATGTAGCGATAAAACCAGCTAGCGCCAAAAGAATGACCGTATGTCGAAGACCATTTCGTCTGTTGAGAAAAAGATAGGTTAGGGGAAGACAGGGTATGAATATAATTGGTCCCCAATTGAAGAGAAGATCGACAGTTGTTGATGATATGCCATAGAACTTTTGTGTACTTGGTGAAGCAGGAGAAAAAGTCAGCCAGAATACACATTGATTGAAAGTAAGAAATGAAATAATACCAAGCACATAGAATCGTCGACGATACAAAATGTAGACATCAAGTTCCGATTTGACAATGGCAACAGTTGAATTCGTATTCCTCATGACGTGATAAGTAAAAAAAAGAGAGATAAAAATTTGATGTATTCAATATTAGAATCCTTCGTATTAATGACAGGTAGGAGAGGATTAGACACGCCATAGGTTGCACATGCTTACTATGTGCAAGATTTATAGACATGATCCTGGCTACTTCGATAAATTAGGAGTTGCCAGAAAAAATAACAGAGGATAATCGCTTTAGATCTTCAAGAAAATGATAACATGAGTCCAGTGTAACATAATGTAATTTTTAGACACGATAAAAGCATACTGAGAGCAGGTAACAAAATGTCAATGCGTGTCTGCAAAACGAACATGAATGTTGTTGACAATCATCTTCATTATCGAAGCCTTGTCTTCACATTCGCGTTGAATCCCGTACAAACTATTCATAAAAACTCTTCCGAAGAACATTCCTGATTCATTCGAAATTGGATCGATGCGAGCAAATTTCACCGCTAGATGTTAAAACAATCAGCGCACGAACAGGGCTCATTCGAACCTAATTATACACACTTGTGTGTATGTGAATGAATGTGGATATGGGTAATGATACGGGCAAAAGAAGACTCATACACTGCCTCAATCTGCATCTACATTCAAACACTGACATTCCAGCAACAGTGACTAGCATTTCTTGTAATTGATAATGGAAGTGTTCAGAACCTAAAATATTGCATCTCTGTGGAATTAAATCTTATCATGTGCATTAACCAAAGAGACAATAAAATTCGTTTTTGCCAATGAGACTATTCTCTAGTTGTGTCTGCGTCGATCGCCGGGTGCTTACGTCATCAAGGTAATGTATGCGAAAACAGATAGTCCGCCGTTAATAAAACTACATGAGGCGAAGCAAGTTATTTCTTACTTTAATATGTTAATCCATTCTTTATCTTGTTTTATTTTTCAAGGCTTTATCACCTTGAAGTATCCTATTCGGTATAGTATGGTTATGAATGAGTAGGATATGAAAGCGCATTAACATAATCTGTCGTTGAAAATGAAAAACAAACTCGTTCGGACTAACAACCAGTTGTGTTTGTTGAGTCTTGTTTAACTCCGAAAGCCAATCGTAATAAAATCACCTAAGTCATATTTGAAGCATTTCAGACGTCGGATTCAACAACTGAATTAACTCGTCCCTTAGTCTAACATCATTCGCTCTAGCAGTCTACAGTGTTAATCTTGCTTTACTCGCTCTGTTCGTATCTAATTGTTTGACAGATGTCGTTTTCAACTCAACTTTGAGTAATGTAGATATAGCGTGCATCTGCGACTGTGGCGATAGATTTTAGATGTATCGGGTGTGACAGAAGTTTTGCGACATTTTTTGTTTTTGCATGTATCTCTGTTCAGAAGCATGATAAAACGTTCCTCTTTATTTCCAACGATGCGCCGTCGAATTCGGTACAAACTCCTATTTGTCTTAATTTAGAACAGCAGAACTCAATATTTTCATACGTCACATGGTGTCGTCATGTGTGTTGAGACTGCTTCTCACACATTGTTTAATGACTTATTCGTTTTATGTAAGCCAATGTTTTGTTGTGAAACAGATTGCATTGTTAGACAGTTCTTAAAATCCTCTAGCGATGGTATGCATATAAGAAGCTTCTGTATGATCTTTATTTCGGTTAGACGTATTACCATATTTAGAAAATGCACAATTTTCATGTTTTGCTGTGCCTTTATTAAAGTAAGCATTCTAGAAACGCCGCCTATGATCAAACTGAGTTCATTTTTGCGGTGTTTTGTAGAAAATTGAATGCACTTTCTATGTGAATCCCAAAGAACCCATCAAAATACGATCTAGCTGCAAAAAAGAATTCGAATAATGTCAAGAAGGTCATGTTCGTTGTAGCACCTCAAATAGCCTATAGTTTTTATCCAAATATAGATTGTTATGAAAAACTTATAAATTATTCTGAAATAGCATTTGATGCATACTTAAATTACGATTTGAATATGTCTTGTTTGCCTCTTTTTATAAATAGGAAAAATCGTTAAAAGACAATTGCGTGGGAAATAGCCACAACACACATGATGACATTATGCGGCCTATAATAATGCTAAGTTCTATTGCTGTAAATTAAGAGAAATAGAATTGTGTACAGATTCCGATGGCACATCGTTGAAAAAAAATGGAAAAAAAGATGAACATTTTATTTCATTATGCTTCTGAACAGACATACATGCAAACCAAAAGATGTCGCAAAACTTTTGTCACACGCGGTATAGGTATATATATCCTGGTAACGCATTAATTTTCTTTTTCTTTACAGTTAAACACTGCTTCACATGATTCTTTGTCATGATTAGGCCCGTCATGTTTTGGCACGACATCCAGCGCAGCCAATGATCGAACTAGGGATGTCCGATTAGCATTAGCATAGCATTAATTAATATTTTTTTAATGCTTTTGCATTAGTGTTAAAAAATATTATTTAATGCTTTGGCATTGATATTAGAAAAGTGTTAATCTAATGATAATGCTTAGTTCCCAAGCACAGAACAAAATTGTTTCGTTATGGGAATATTTTTCCAAAACTGGACGATTTCGTTCTTTTTTGGGAACACCTTCCCATAACAGGACAAAATTGTTCTGTTTTAGGAAAAAAATCTCATAAGGAAACAACTTTGTTCTGTCTTTGAGAACTCTAAGCATTATCATTAGATTAATACTTTTCTAATACTAATGCTAAAGCATTAAATTATTTTTTTTTTGACACTAATGCTCAGCAGACACCCCTAGATCGAACGGTATTATTCTTCAGTTATAAGAGCTGCTCAGAATATAATTAATGCTTTAAAAAAGAAACTATGCTGTATTACACTAGAGTTCGAAGAAGAAATTCCTATGGTCGAAGCATTCTCGTCAGTGGAGCAATGTTTCGATTTGTCGAATGGGCAAGTAATAATAATTGAAAATGAACGGTTCCAATATCCAAAAGCTCACATAAACATGACGTTGTTGGACTTTGTGAGATGTGATCTATAATTCACCGACCCTGTTTGGTATCGATCTTCTTCTTTTCTCCAATAAGTATTCATGAATATGTCAACCATTTAACTCGAAAAGACAAGATCAATATTGAAAAAGAGATTTTTGTCAATATTGTACTCACTAGTGTTAAGTCTAACAATCACTCTGTCATCTTTTTAAATTAGCACTTTAGACACAATCATGTTCCGTAGTATTGTCAACCACATGTAGAAAAAAGCTATGGAGTTAGCACTAACGAAGATTGCAATTAAAGTGGATCAGTGATTCAATGATGACATTATTCTCAATTTTTGTGACTTATGGCTTACCAATAAGCACTACGATAAAAGATGTCCATCGATTGGTCATTGAAAATGTTTCCGAGAATAATATGGATGTTCATCTAGTACAACTATAGCAACTTCCATATTTTACCTCGGATATCTTTTCTTTGTCAGAAATATCTGAAATGAAGTGGTTTTTTTCTCAAAATATAGAATGGATCATAAATAGCACTACAGTAAATAATTGAAATATCTCTACTTAGGTTCGCTCGAATGAAATAATGCTTTGGTTAGTGGTAAGAACTTATATAAAGCTTTTTTCATGCAGACAAGGTAAACAAATACTACTGTCAAGTTATATTTTTTTGTCAACTTATAGAAATTCCACCTATTGCCAACTAAGAAAAATACATATGAAGCGTTTCATAAATGTGTTCAACTGTTATCGAAGAGAATAAGAAGAAGTCAAAACGAACTTAAAGAACGCTACTATGTAATGTAAACGATGCAAGTCTTCAAAACAAATTAGCTTCAAGGTTGAAGTTCATGCCTCATTAATAAAACAGACAATTGCAACCGCTTGGGCACCAAAACATCAATTTCCGTGCAAAAAAATAGTATTTCATATTTGAGAATTCAAAATTTTGTATTGTTGACTTTTTAAACTAATTGGTTCTGAAAATTTGTTCTATGTGCATAAATATAGTGTCATTCGTGAAGTTCTTTTTGGTTTCTTACTATTCTCTTAGATAGCACCTGAAAAAGATGAACGAAACGCTTCACATGTATTTTTCTTAGTTGATAACAAGAAAAGTATTTTCATGTTGCTAACAATAATACTTAATAATATTGTTTGCTAATCTTATTTTGTATGAAAAAAAAATTCGAATAAACTGCTACTAAGAACTGAAGAAGCACTTCATTTGATTCAACCGATGTAGAGATATTTCATTGTTCCACCGTAGTGCCATTTATGGCTTATCCTATGGATAGTTGCTGTTTCTTAACTGAGTTGAAAAGGGTACGTTTTCTCGATAATGAGTGTATGGTGCGGGTAGGCTTAGTGAGAACGGAGACAACGCATTCCTCACATCTACACCCACACTCACACTAATAATATGCCTGTATGAACTTGATGGAATTCCTTTTAAAACGTATTTGAACATTTCGTGAACTCTACATGCACCTGATTGTATTTCATTAGTTTCTGTTGCACACTGTGAGAAATAATTTCAAATTAAACCCCCTTGGGAAGTGTTTACTAGATATAAGATTGCAATCGCATCCATTTGCGTTTTTCATGTGATACACAGTATGGGCGTGGGCATGTAGAACAAAAGAAGACATATACCTACATTGATGCTCTTAGCCACATCCATACTTTAGGAAATTAATCAAGACTAAATATTTTGCCAATCATAAGTATTGATTTGAGATAAATATAGTTTTTTGCAAGTGAACAAATATTTTTCGCAGTAATAATTTAAGACAGTTACAAATTTTCTGCTAAGCTAGTGGAAGAAAATAATGAAATGGCTCAAAACAATAACAAGTACAATAGACACAATTGGTGGTGTGGTAATTTCTGTTAAAGCTGTTTAACTTATTTCGTTTGCTCACAGGAGGAAAACAATATTGATACTGCACGGATGAATGAATAATCTTTAGATCTGCTGCTTATAGAGATAAACTGCAAATAAGAAAGAGAAAGAGTAGTTTAGATATGGAAAAATTAGTTTATCGCGTGATAAACTTGATACACTAAGTTGTATCACATGCCTGATATAGAGATGGAACCAGTTTGAATTTTTGACGATTGGTACAGGTACTAGTCTGAAAAGGTCGAACGGACCGATCTACAGGCAGACCACCCGGTCTGAAACTCGTACTGGTACCGGTCACATCTCTGTCGGAAGTAATATCGATCAATAGGACATATTCACCGATCGATCGATGCCATTGAACAAATGTACTACGGTTCTTATTCGAATGAACAACCATTTCACTTTTGATAACACTCAATTAAACGAGATCATAGGTTGGAGGTTACATCAAATCCTACTCAACGCGACTAAGCATTCGTCTCTTCACGATGGATTACCTGGTTACTCTCATCTTTTATTGTACTCATGTTCGATGGGGTATCACCACAAAATTTCTTCATTTCTTTCCTCTGACTTCTTCACGAATGATGAAACCTTTCTCGTGCTTTTTCCTTTTCCTTTTCTAGGTCACACAAAAAAAGAGAACACAAAACTTCCTATCGTAAATGATTAGTTTCAGAAAAAAGTATGCGGGTAAGAACAGCTAATAGTTTTTTTAATGTTCTTACTATTACAAACGTGGACGATAATGCGTCTTAGCTTCTTTCGTTTTTTTTCTTGCCTCAGTATAACATGTGATGATGCAATACAAAGGAAGTAGAAAAGCTCCTATTAGTTATTTGGTTTTTTTCTCATATCTGTTGAACATCATTGTATTTGGTTTTTTTATTCAATTCAAGAATGCCGAAACCCAAACAATTAGGTCGATCAATATCTTGTCTCTATAGATTAGCGATTGTTTTCTATTTTTTTAGAAGTATTTAATGTCTTCTAGTGAAACCTGTAAGTATTGATGGACTGCTAGAAAAGAACACAATGCTAATAAGAGGAGATCTTTTTTTCATTCAGGCAAATGTCAACATAGTAATGAAGCTCGAAAACAGTTTCATCGGCAGGACAGTTTGACAGATTTGCACGAAGCTATAGTGACGAAATCAGAGACCAATATCCGCAATGCCATGGCAAATTGTGTACCGATTAATCTTTTAGATCATTGTGGTCAAACAGCTTTGTACTATGCTTGCGAAAGAGGTTATGCTAATTTAGTAGATTTTTTACTCCAGCATGGTGCTCGTCATGGTATTCTCGATCTGAATCAGACATCTCCACTTTGGGTGGCCTCTCGACAAGGCCATGCAGAAACTGTTCTTGCTATTCTGAAACATGGTGCCCATCCTGATCAACAGGCCAATAATCAAACGATGGCTCTCTATAAACCATCGTACGAAGATCATGTCATTTGTGTCTATCATCTTGTTCGATTCAATGCATCAGTGCAATTATCTAAGAATAGTGGTGCATCACCGCTCTTCGGTGCTGCTAGAAATTGACACTATCGTATTGTCAAACACTTGCTTAAACACAGAGCTAATCCTTTTCAAACACAAGTCGATTTGCGATCGCCTCTGCATACTGCTCTTCTCTATAGTCGTATTCGATGTGCTCGATTGCTCTTCGCATATAGTCCATTGCATTGGGTCCTTCAGTCAGATAGTTATGGCTGGACCGATCTACATTTTCTGGCCAAGAAAGGTAATATCCGAGTCGCGCGTCTTTTCTTTCATCACCTGAGATTCGATCTGAAGCCGATCCATTTCGAACACATCGATTGCTTTGGCAACACACCGTTGCATGTCGCCATGTTCCATGGAGAATTTCTCTTTGCTCGCTTTCTGACAGAAAAAGGTTTCGATGTCGATCGACCGAATTTCTTTCAATGGACGCCGAGAATGACAGAAGCAGCCAGTGAGAAAAAACTGGCAGAGATAAATGGATCTTCGCCGGAAATTTATCTGAAACAACTGCTCGGTATCTATCAAATTAATTATAACGGGTGTCCCAGGAATAATGAGCCTCTCAGTATTTTACTGACATCTTTGTCAAAACTAATTCGTTCGGGGTTAATTTTTTTTTCAAACGATTCGTCTTTTCATTCTCTACAAGAATATATACTTCGTATTTCATTCGAACGTATCTTGTCCTCAGTATAAGATGAAAAGTAAAGATCTTCAACAAGTTGTTTTTCNAGTACGATCTTATGTAAGATTTCGGAGACTGCACTTTTTTGTACGGTTTTCATTGGATCTTATAAGATCATAGAAGATCAGAGTTATGATTTGATAAGATCTTACGCTCTGATTGCTCGACCTGGGTTTCTATACACAGTAACTAACCACAAGAATAGGTTTATGTCATAATGTAGTCAGCATATTGTCGGACGGATGATTCGAGACAAAAATTCGTTAGTGATTTGTATAGGATCTGCAGTCCTGCCTGGAGTCGATTTCGTTGTTGTCGTTGAAATCAATTAAATTTTTTGCTAAAAATTTTGCTTTAGTATAGAAACTTTTTTGAATTGTAGGTTTTGTTCTCTGATATTTACTGTATAAACTGATGCATTTTTTGAAGGTTCCAACAATGTCTTATCAAGGTCCATGAACATGAAAACAAGTCGGAGTCAAATTCAACTTCGACTTGCTTTCATGCTCATAAACCTTGATAAGGCGGTATTGAAACCTTCAAAATGCATCATTTTATACAGCAAAAAGCAGAGAACAAACCTACAATTCAAAACAGTTTCTGTGCTATAGGAAAATTTTCGGCAAAAGACTTAGTACACTTCAATGACGATTCCGTATAGAACTCTATTAGAGTCATTCTATAGATTGGCAATACTAAGATTTGCAAATATAGGTGCCGAACAACATAGTCCCTCAATCATGACAATATCATGTTGTTCAGAGAAAATAAAGTTTTTTAATAAAACTAATTCCTATGGAACATGTAGTTTTGTAACTCAAATATTTTGATATCACTAGAAAGATCTCATCACTTTGATCATACTCAAACATAACATGCTTAGAAATTTTTAAATTTGACTGCAGAAAAAAAACCGCTCAAGTGCACTCCTCATTGTTGATTGTGTGTAAAGTTTCAAGACGTTGTTCAGTCTTGAGCAAGTATTTTGAAAAAAATATTTTTATACAACTGTGTAACAGAGACTTTGTTCTTTCTAACAAGAAAATTATCAAGTGTACACGATAACTTATTGTCATGCTATACTAGACAGAAAAATGAATGAAGAACATTTGTACTATCTGCTATGTATATACTGAAACTAAAATAATATAGTCATAGCATCTATACATTTCGGAGACATATATGTCTCATTGCAATGAAACTGCAGATATATAACATATTGTCAAAAATATTTCAATTTAAAAATTTTAGTAACTGACTCACACTTATCTTTATCTTTACTTTACTTTACTTTATATACTTCAAAAGAACGAAGGGCGTGGGGGAGGGACTCGACGAATAAAATTACATTGTTGATTCTCTCATCGTTTCTTTTTTTCAGTCACGAGGACTGTGTTTTTTTTTCTTCTTATCCAACACGAATCGAGGAGGAGGGGAAAAAAAATGACTCGTTCTCTGGATCTCGATAGAGAACAGATAGAGCAACGTCAAACGATGACGCGAAAAAACAGAACGCAAGAAATGTGTCACGTTAAGACGTCAATGGCGTTGTTTTTTTTATTACGCTATAACTCTCGCTTGCATATTTTTCTTCTTTCGCGTAGGTGGGTAACAGAACGCGAAAGCCTTATGATATAAATTTATATAAGAGACAGCAATGTTGAAGACTCAAACAGCAATACTATCGTATGCGATCAAATTTATTACCAATCGATCAACTTCTCATGTGTATGAGCAAAGGTCAACCAGGGGATTCTTATCCTACACTAACTCCTTCCATTGCCAAAGTTGAACAATATCCAAATTGTTCATCGGAAAACAGTCGCACATCATTCGACGACAACGAAACAATTTCATTTGGTCCTATTAAAGTCAAACCACGTAAAAGACCAGCACCAACTTTAGCTACTGGTCGTCGTTCAAAATATGAAAAATTAAGTCCAGCAGAAGAACAAAAACGAGATGTAAGACGTGCCCGTAACCGTGCTGCTGCTGAACGTGTACGTGTAAGTCGACTAAATATTGAACAACAATTATTAGAACAAATAAATGGATTAGAACAACAAGAAGAAAAATTATTACAAAATGTTCAAGCACTTCAACATCAAAAACTTCATTTAGAAACACGACTTTTTACTCATGAACAAATGTGTCCAAATATCAATGGTCAAAATTCATTCACAACATCAGACATCGACTTAGCATCATATTTGCCATTAGACAATCTTCCAATATCTTCTCAACAAAATTCTACAATAATAGATGATAAAATATCGGAATTAGATTTTGATGATGCATTTATTAATTCATTAACTGTTGAACAAATAGAAAATTTTCCTGAATCATTATCAAGTATGATAGTCAATGGTGATCTAGATGATTTCTTCATGAATCAATAATAATAAATGTAATCTCAATATTTTTTTTTCTCATAATTTTGTATAATCTTTTTCTTTTTAACTTGAATGATCTATTGTTAGTTTTGTTGTTGTATTCATGTGTAAGATAAAATAATATTATATTAGTGTTTGAAAGAAAAAATTATTAAAACATTTCATTTTTCTCTTACAATATTGTTCAATATTTTTAGTTATATTTTTTACAAAATATTTCTTTTTTTTAAATAAATAACTTGTACGACAAAAAAAAATCGAACGAGGTTTTGATTGACACCAATAGAAAGCAAGACGTCAACTCTAGATGTTTTTTTCTCAATGGATTCTTTTTTCCTTTTTCTTTGCTTTTCTCCTTGAGAGTAACTATAACGATGGTTATACATATAGAATACTATTTGCTTTGACCCGCGGAGCGTATAACAAACATTCAATTGTATTTTTTTTAACAAGCTCTTTAAGCTTTGTATACAAAGAGACATATTGACATTATATACTTATATATATATATATACATGTTATATCTTTCTCAAGGTTTTCAAGCAGAGTTTTGTATTAGAAGAAAAACTTATGCTAACATATTTCGCTTACAATCAAATATCCTGATTGGTATCCGAAAATAACATTTTCCCGTTTTGCCTCGTCTCTTTCCCTTTAATGTTTGTATGAAAGCAATAATTTTTTTGACAAATGTCATGCATACATGTACATGTACAGGTAAAATACTCGATTATACAGGTATACTTGATTTTGGGTGTTGCAAGTATAAATGATCGTATGCATATAGAGTGTTTATGTCGCTCAAGGACATTGCATTTATTGTTGACATAGCCTTTTAATGCATGAAGAGCGAATATAAAAGAAAAGGTAAATCTGTGCAGAATCGAGGTGTGTTTTTTCCCTATACAATGCAAAATTTTATTTCTTGCTAATGATTTGTCCTTTCTGTATATTGCAAGTGAATTGTGAAATATCTTATTTAGATTAAGTACGAATTTTTATACTATGATATTATTGTTGATCGTGCTGAAATATAATAATAATAACCTTATTTGAATTTATACTGAATTAAATTTACAATTTTTAATAGTGAGTACATAACGAACTACATAGTTTTAAAAAGTTGTAAAACGAAATATGTTTACTTTAAACAACTCTCTGTTGTTTTTAGTAATCATAAAATAAGAAAGGTAGAACATAAATAACTTGCATTACTATTTATTTTCATTGTCTTTACTGATCTAATAATATAGTTGAATATGTTTTATATAAGTTATCAATCAATCATGTTCTTCATAAACATGTCACTTGATATTATGAGAAAATGAGCTGGGTAAAATTATTGATAATAGATAAAAGAAAAGATTATGAAAAAAAAAGATTTTTTTTTCTTAACAAAATGGTGAAAGAAACCAAAAATAGGAGAAAAAATAATTTAATTCGATACGAGAAAAAAAAACTTATCTGTTAGTTAATTGAAAGTTACTGATAAAAGAACAGAATATCAAATTATAATATTAATTACACAAGACATATCTCAAATATTACAATCTTTATGTAAATTGACTAAATTTTAAATACAAAGAGAGTCATCTGAATAAAATGATTCGTAAGTTTGCAAGAAATTATTTTTTATTTTCTAATTTCAATTATTATCGTATCCAGTTAAATACAAAAAAATATTATAAATTAGTTTGCTAATTACGAAAAACAAAAAACATTCGCTATTAACTTCAATAATTAAAAAAAATTGACTGCTATCAAAAGCTAATTAATTTCAATTTATTTTATGCATTAACATTCATGTTGACATAGCATATCATGCATTGATTTAAACAATTGAAGTGAAGAATGAATGATCGTTAGAAATTATTATTTCAGCTAATTTCTAATAAGTGTAACATGACAGAAATTTCATGAAAAGAAATATGTCATGATAAATTATCGAACATGAAAAG